TTGGAAATTGATGGATAATGTAAGAATCGGAACAGAATCCAGGCTCACCTCAGTAACGTCTATCCGTACGGAAAGTGTATGGGAGAGAAAAAGGGAAAGAGACAGCAGGAAAGATTAGTCTGTAGAAAGATTAGTTCTTTATGGACAGATAAAGCAGCATGCTTGGTTAGTAGGTTACTAGTATTGAATTTATTCAGTATTGAATAATATATTTAGAGAAAACAGGTTATATCCAGACATTTTGTGAATTTTTTAAAGAAATAGTTTTCCCAAAATGATAAGTAACTCATAGTTTACTTGCATCAAGCCATTTTTTAAAAGTCACTATCCCACAACATTATTCAGTATGGAAGACTCAGGATATAATCTAAAACTACTTCAACACAGTTCGTCTGACAGAAAAAAAGTCACAAAGGATGGCTTAAGGGTGATAAAATGATGGGGTATTTTTAATTTTTGGGTGAATTATTCCTTTAATGGACAGTTAATATTTTTTTCTGTTGTTTTAAGAGAAGGCTGAGCTTAAACTTTGTAAGTTTATTTAATACAGAGTCTCCTAATTATAAAGTTTTATTGTTTATTATTCCATATATTTTGCACTTTCATATCACACACACAAAAATCACTTCTGCGAACTCAAAAAAAAAAATAAAAAAATAAACAAAAAGCAAGCACTGATGACTTATGTGTACCAATACACCCCTAATATTTAATCAGCAATAAATAATATATGGGAGTACACAGATTACAGCCAGACATTAGATTTTTTTAAAATAGGCTCATTTTAGAGTTAAACTGAGGAGTTTTACCATTTTTTTACCCATTAAGCTGATTTCCAAGTCTGGCAGGAAGCACTTTTAGCTTAGCTTAGCATAGATGATTGAATCAGATTAGACCATTAGCATCTCATTCAAAAATCACCTTCAATAGTTTTGATTATTTTCCTTTTTAAAGCTTGACTCTTCTGTACACTGTACAAAAATATATGAATATTAAGTCATGACAGCATATGTTTTTAGTTCATTGTAACTTATTAAACGAAGTCAATCAAGTACTAATTTAATTTTATAAGTTACGCAAACTGTTTCAGTCAGTTTAACATTATAAAATGAGATGGACTCAACATTTAGCTTAAAAATTCAAGGCAACCAGTTTTTTTTGTATTTTTTTGCAGTGTCGTTACATCGTGTACTAAGACTAAAAGTTGCTATTTTCTAGGCTGATTTTCTAGGAACTTTATTCTCATTCCGGCATAATAATTTACATAAATAAAAAAATAAAAAAATATATCTACCTGGAAAACAACATTACGTTTTCCATCAGTCTAAGTACACAAAGTGACTACACAAAAGTCACATTTCAAATAGGGAAATTATAAACATTACTATTTTGACATGGCGACACAGTGGCTAGGTGGTTAGCACTGTTGCCTCATAGCAAGAAGGAGTTTGCATGTTCTCACCGTGTTGGCATGGGTTTCCTCCGGGTGCTCCGGTTTCCCCCACAGTCCAAACACATGCGCTATAGGGGAATTGATGAACTAAATTAGCTGTAGTGTATAAGTGTGTGTGTGAGAGAGAATGAGCGTGTATGGGTGTTTCCCAGTACTGGGTTGCAGCTAGAAGGTCATCCTCTGTTTAGAACATATGCTGGCAGTTGGCGGTTCATTCCGCTGTGGCACCCCTGATGATTAAAAGGACTAAGCCGAATGAAAATGTATGAATTTTTTTGAGATTTTTGAGTGAGATGCTAACGGTCTAATCTGATTCAATGACCTATGCTAAGCTAAGCTAAACTTGCTCCAGTCAGACTCGGAGATTGGTTTAATGGATCTGAATATGGTAAATCTCAACTGTTTTACTTTAAAGGAGTTGTTTTAAATGTGTTTCTTTAAAGGTCCTGTGAAATTAAAATACAATTTTAGACATTATTATCAATATGGTAATTTGAAGGATATCTATAAGCTCCAAATCAGTGACAAAATTCACATTTAGAAGATACGAACCTGATAAACCAGCCTGATCTCATGAGGAAACGTAAATATTTTACGTTTTGTCACTTTAGTGGTTAATTTGTACAAATTCTAGTTCAGTCGTATGAAAATGTACGATTTTAAAAAAGGAGGCGTGGCACCCGATCCTGCCCTTAAACCCAACCGTCATTGGAGGATGAGCAAATTGTACTATAATTGCACAAATGAGATCATACAAATTCATACGAATTAGCCACAAGATCAAAAAGTTACGAATTGCCGTGAGACCATGTTGGATATAAACATCTTTAAGTTTGCAGTTTGTTACTTCCACCTAAATAAATCAATTATTTTTTTGACGTCGCCTCATATTTCAGTTTCTCATCAAATCTTCTGACCTATGAAATGCTCTCTAGTATCTGACAGGCCCCGCCCCTTTTCATTGGCTTTTAATTTGATGTGCTTAAGCTCAACTTTCACTGGCAGAGCTGTGCTCAAAACTAAATGCTATTGGTTGTTTATTTAAAGGAGAGGAGCTACTATATGCCCCACCCCCTCTTCATGTTTCAGTTGGTTGTTGCTAGATCAGATACGTTTGTGGCCGGAAGTTAACGAGAATTATTTCTATTATTTATTAAATTTCCCATTTATTGTATTTTATTAACGTCTACCCCCACCCCAACCCTAAACCCAACCGTCACAGTAACTTAAAAACAGTAGTTGCACTAAGTATTATTTATGTTATCTAATAAATTACCCAATAAATTTTTTTTAATGTCTACCCCCACACCAACCCTAAACCCATCGTCACAGTAACATAAAAACAGTAGTTACACAGAGTATTATTTACGTTATCTAATAAATGACCCAATAAATTGTATTTTTTAACGCCTACCCCCACCACAACGCTAAGCCCATTATCACAGTAACATAAAAACAGTAGTTGCACAGAGTATTATTTGTTATCTATTAAATTACCCAATAAATTTTATTTTTAACGCCTACCCCCACCCCAACACTAAACCCATCGTCACAGTAACGAAAAACAGTAGTTGCGCCGAGTATTATTTACGTTATCTATTAAATTACCTAATAAATTGTATTTTTTAGCGCCTACCCCCACCACAACGCTAAACCCATCGTCACAGTAACGTAAAAACAGTAGTTGCACTCAGTATTATTTACGTTATCTATTAAATTACCCAATAAATTGTATTTTTTAGCGCCTACTCCCACCCCAACCCTAAACCCAACCATTACAGTAACGTAAAAACAGTAGTTGCACCCAGTATTATTTACGTTATCTATTAAATTACCCAATAAATTTTATTTTTTAACGCCTACCCCCACCCCAACGCTAAACCCATCGTCACAGTAACGTAAAAACAGTAGTTGCACTCAGTATTATTTACGTTATCTATTAAATTACCCAATAAATTTTATTTTTTAACGCCTACCCCCACCCCAACGCTAAACCCATCGTCACAGTAACGTAAAAACAGTAGTTGCACTCAGTATTATTTACGTTATCTATTAAATTACCCAATAAATTGTATTTTCTAACGCCTACCCCCACCACAACTCTAAGCCTATCGTCACAGTAACGTAAAAACAGTAGTTGCGCCGAGTATTATTTACGTTATCTATTAAACTACCACAAATTTTTTTAACGCCTACTCCCACCCCAACCCTAAACCCAACCTTCACAATAACGTAAAAACAGTAGTTGCACCAAGTATTATTTACGTTATCTATTAAATTACCCAATAAATTTTATTTTTTAACGCCTACCCCCACCCCTACCCCAACGCTAAACCCAACTGTCACAGTAACGTAAAAACAGTAGTTGCACCAAGTATTATTTACGTTATCTATTAAATTACCCAATAAATTGCATTTTTTATTGCCTACCCCCACCCAAACCCTAAACCCAACCGTCACAGTAACGTAAAAACAGTAGTTGCACTAAGTATTATTTATGTTATCTATTAAATTACCCAATAAATTTTATTTATAACGCCTACCCCCACCCCAACGCTAAACCCATTGTCACAGTAACGAAAAACAGTAGTTGCGCCGAGTATTATTTACGTTATCTATTAAATTACCTAATAAATTGTATTTTTTAGCACCTACCCCCACCACAACGCTAAACCCATCGTCACAGTAACTTAAAAACAGTAGTTGCACTCAGTATTATTTACGTTATCTATTAAATTTACCAATAAATTGTATTTTTTAATGCCTACCCCCACCCCAACCCTAAACCCAACCGTTACAGTAATGTAAAAACAGTGGTTGCACCCAGTATTATTTACGTTATCTATTAAATTACCCAATAAATTGTATTTTCTAACGCCTACCCCCACCACAACTCTAAGCCCATCGTCACAGTAACGTAAAAACAGTAGTTGCGCCGAGTATTATTTACGTTATCCATTAAACTACCACAAATTTTTTAACGCCTACTCCCACCCCAACCCTAAACCCAACCTTCACAGTAACGTAAAAACAGTAGTTGCACCAAGTATTATTTACGTTATCTATTAAATTACCCAATAAATTTTATTTTTTAATGCCTACCCCCACCCCAACGCTAAACCCAACCGTCACAGTATTGTAAAAACAGTAGTTGCACCAAGTATTATTTACGTTATTTATTAAATTACCCAATAAATTGCACTTTTTATTGCCTACCCCCACCCCAACCCTAAACCCAACCGTCACAGTATGGTAAAAAAAAATAATTATTGTTACAGTGTCATAAAAAATGCTGCTATATTAATGTGCATATCGCACATCCGGCCGACTATATATCCGATCTAGACTTTTCTAGACTTTACCGTTTCAGTTGAGATTACGTCAAAACATCCAATAAAAATGCTAATTTTAAAGCACTTCACGAGAGCTTTACGTGAGTTAGAAATGAATTACTCGTGTATCTATACTGCATAACTGCAATCAACTATAAACTGAGCCTACTTATATATTTTATAAACACTTGATCAAGTTTCATACAAGATCTTACCATTGAGTTCTCAGTCTTGATAGACTTGACCTGCAGGTAGTCCTCCACTCCTCTAGTAGTGCTGTTGGCTTCAATTTTCTCCTCCGCCATCTTGGCTCCGGCTTCATTTTCTCCGTTCTCCTTCGGCGGATGTGGTCTGGACGGCAGATCTCCGCGTTGTTTCTTGGTGACGTGTGCTTCGGGCCCGTGCACGGTTTTAACGTGTTTCCGAAGCGAACTGGGATCAGTATAGCGCTTGGTACAGCCCGGGATCTTACACACGTAGGGTTTCTGCGAAGATAAATATCACACCGCTCAAATATACAACTCTGAATTAGAGTTTTATCTCTTCCCTTTAAGTCAGATTATCCTCAAAGAACAAATGAACGCACGATTATGGGAATGAATTACAAATGCGCTGACGTACTGATGCTACGAATGCTATCGTGATGCATGGCTGTTTGCTAATAAAGTTGAGTTGATCTTTTATGCTAGTGATGGATCGGCGCGGGAAGGCTTCATTTCCGTCTGCAGGTGGTCTGTTCCTCTGAGCTTTATTCCCACTAATGCATTATGGGATGCCGGACTCATTAGCATCACAGCTCATTATTCACGCACACACACACACACATTGCGCACACTTGCTGGTTAATGGGACAGCATTGGGCGTCCTGGAGCAATCACTACAGATGATGAGGGAATGCGTAAACAAATCTAATTTTGGCCTAAATTTGTTAGCGTGTGCTGGAAATGGCATATTTACATAGCATTAGGCTGTTAGCAGATCCTTAACATTGCAGCTAGCGTCTGAAAACTCCCGCGTCGATGACGGTAACGGATCTAATAGAGTCGACCCAACGCGGCTCACCCAGAAAGTAAATGACTCTCGCGGCGCTGGTTGAAATTTAAGCGGTTGTTCGGGGGTGAGGCTCGTTTTCGGCTCGTCTGCTTTAATTGTATGTAAAAGAGCAGCTTGAGTTCTGTGTTATTTGTTAGGGAGGAAATGTAGGTCAGACCGATGTTTAAAGAAATAAATGATGTCTAAGGAAAATGGAGGATCATTACGATGATTCGGCCAGCATATGTTAATGACTATAATGATAGATAAATGAATGAATGATTGAATAGCGGCACGGTGGCTTAGTGGTTAGCACTGAGCAAGAAGGTCACTGGTTCGAGCCTCGGCTAGGTTAGATGGCATTTCTGTGTGGCTATAGGAGAACTGATGAACTAAATTGGCCGTAGTGTATGAGTGTAAATGAGTGTTTATGGGTGTTTCCCAGTACTGGGTTTCAGCTGGAAGGGCATTCGCTGTGTTAAACATATGCTGGAAGAGTTGCCGGTTCATTCTGCTGTGGCGACCTCTGAAATAGAGACTTAGCTGAAGGAAAATGAATGAATATATAAATAATTTTGGGTAATTTGGCCCTCCATAAATATGTATAAATCACAGTATTATTAGTTTTGTGGATTTACTTTTTCATAAATCTATGTATGTTTGTTAATTGTAATACATTTAATAAATGAATAAATAAAAAATACAACTCTTACAGCTTTAATACAAAAATAATAGAATATAATTTTTATGAATTTATGTAATATTAAAATAAGACTAATATAAAAATATTATTTTATTAATTATCTATTTATTTATTGTTTATTTATGTTAAGTAAAAAAAATCGATTTATGTATGTTAAAAATATATAAAGTGTTTAGTTTGCTTTTAATACATTAACAATGTATAAATAAATAAATAAATAAATAAAAATACAAATGTTACAGCTTCGATACAAAATATTAAAATATTATTGTGTTAAGTTTTATGTCTGTTTATGTTACACTTTTAAAAATCCTTTTATGTATGTTAAAATATATGAAGTGTTTAGTTTGCTTGAAATATATACAAATAAATAAATAAATAGTAAATTTAATAACTAAATAATAATAATATAATAAATAATAAATAAATAAAATACAAATCTTACAGCTTTAATACAAAAATATTTAAATATTAATTTATGTTTTACATTTAAATACGAATACATAGTAGTATTAATAATTTTATGCTTTTATTATTATAAAAAATATATAAAGTGTTTATTTTTGTTGTACAGTAAATGCATTAAACATAAATATAAATAAATACATCTTACAGCTTTAATGCAAAATTATTATAATATTATTTTATTAATTTATGATTTAAAATTAAATACAAATACATCATAGTAGTTAACAAAACTTTTACAAAAATGTATTTATTATTGTAAAAAAACTATTAAGTAAAATAAATATATATAAATATTTACTTACTATCAGTTTAATTTTACTTAATAAATATTAAGTCAAATAAACATTTATATATATATATATATATATATATATATATATATATATATATATATATATATATATATATATATATATATATATATATATATATATATATATATATATATATATATATATATATATATATATATATATATATATATATATATATAT